GTTTTCCTCTGCCTCCATTGTTTCTGCTGACTTTTCTCTCACTTATCAAGCTTGCAAAGTTTGTCTACTGTATCAAATTTATTAATTCTCCCAATCATTTGTTTTCATAGTTCAGGATTACTTTAAAGATATACTATTTTTTACATTAGCTTTAGATTTACAGAAAAAATGAAGGCGATAGGTAAGATTAGGGTTCTCCTATAAATGTATTGTTGTGTTGTTGTTGGGTGCCATTGAGTCAGTTCTGACACACAGTGACCCTGTGCACCACAGGAGGCAACATTGCACGGTCCTGGGCCATCCTCACTACTGTTCCTATGCCCGAGCTCATTGACTCAGTCTCTGTATCAATCTATCTCACGGAGGGGCTACCTTTTTTCGCTGCCCTTCCACTCTACCACACATGACCTCCTTCACCAGAAACTGGTCTCTCCTGAAAATATGTCTAAAGTATGTAAGATGAAGTCTTGCCATCCTTGCCTCTAGGGCAGTCAGTCCATGGTGCTTTCAATAATCTTCTCCAGCACCATAATTCAAGTGCACCTGTTCTTCTGGGGTCTTCCTTATTCAATGTCCAACTTTCAAGTGTATATGGAGCAATGGAGAATGCCATGGCTTGGGTTGGGTGCACCTTAGTCCTCAAAGTAACATCTTTGCTCTTCAATACTCTAAAGAGGTCTTGTGCACTAGATTTATCTAATGCAGTACATCTTTTGATCTCTTGACTGCTGCTTCCATGAGCATTGATTGTGGATCCAAGTAAAACAAAAATCCTTGACAACTTCAACCTTTTCTCTATCTTGATGGGACCTATTGGTCTACTTGTGAGGATTTTGGTCTTCCTTATATTGAGTTGTAATCTATACATAAGGCTACAGTCCTTGATTTTCATCAGCAAGTGCTTCAATTCCTTCTCATTTTCAGCAAGCAAGGTTGTGTCATCTGCATATCACAAGTTGCTAATAAGCCTTCCTCCAATCCTGATGCCACATTCTTCTTTGTATAATCCAGCTTCTCTGATAATTTGCTCAGCACACAGATTGAACAAGTATGATGAGAGGATGCAACACAGACACACACCCCTTTCCTGATTTTAAATCATGCAGTATTCCCTTGTTCTGTTCACACATCTGTCTCTTGATCCGTGTACAAGTCCTACATGAGTGAAGTGTTCTGGAATTCCCATTCTTCTCAAGGTGATCCACAGTTTATTATGGTCCACACACTCGAATGCTTTGGCATAGTCAATGGAACACAAGTAAACATCTTTCTTGTATTCTCTGCTTAGAGCCAAGATCCCTCTGACTTCAGCAATGACATCACTTGTTTCACATCCTCTTCTGCATCCAGCCTGAACTTCTGGCAGTTCCTTGTCAATGTACTGCTGCAACCATTGTTGGATGATTGAGTTAGTTAATTGTGCCAACCTGGCCGATAAACACATGCAGGGCTAATTTAAAGAAGAAGGGATAAATGGGTGGTGAGCCTTGCCTTTCTAGTTCTCGGGTCTCTTGCTTTGTGATGATCGCACCAGGGTGCAGCTGCCTTAGCAGTTCCCTGCTTCAGCTTGCAAGATTGACTTCCTACAAGATATCCCCAAGGAGAAGCCACATGGACTTATCCCGATGCAGCCCTGGGTGCTGGAGCAGCCGTATGGAGACCCCTGCTAGTGCTGAGATGCTTAATCGTTCACTGACTCAGCTTTCCTCCTGCAGTCGGCATCATTGCCTCTGTTTTGTGAGGTGGAGGACTTTGTGGACTGGTGTTGGGTTAATGGGTTAATGTTGGACTTGTGGGCTTGGGCAGCATTGGGTTGGGATGTTTTCGTGATGCACACTTTCTTTACATAAAACTCTCTTATACATGAATTGCTGTGGATTTGTTTCTCTAAAGTACCTAGACTAATACAGTGATCTTAAGGAAAATTTTGCTTGTGTGCGAGATCAATGATATCATTCTATAGTCTGAACATTCTGTTGGGTCACCTTTCTTTGGAATGAGCACAGCTATGGGTCTCTTCCAGTCAGTTGGCCAACTAGCTATCCTCCAAATTTCCTGGCATGGACCAGCGAGTGCTTCCAGTGCTCCTTCAGCTTGCTGAAACCTATCAATTGGTATTCCAGCAATTCTTAGAGCCTTGCTTTTTGGCTAAAGCATTCAGTGCAGTTTGAACTTCTTCCTTCAGCACCATTGCTTCTTGCTCATTTGCTACTTCCTGAAATGAGCTGTTCACAAGTTCTTTTTGGTACAGTGGCTCTGTGCATTCTTTCCATCTTTTCTGGATGATTCTTGCATCATTCAATATTTTGCCTATAGAGTCTTTCCTGTAGAAAAATTGCAACTCGAGCTTGAATTTTTTTCTTGAGTTCTTTCAGTTTCAGATAGGTGTGTTCTTAGCTTTTGGTATTCTAATTCTATTATATGATTGGCTTGTTGTAATTAATAAATAAACACTGATACATTACAAACTAACTCACGCACTGCAATCTAGTCAATTCTGAATCACAGACAGAGTAGCGTGACTCCAAATTGGTTTCCTTATTTTTATGACCTTGACAGCTTTAAGAAGACCCTAGAGATAAAGTTCCATGTCCATTACATCATATTAAGGGTAGATGCTGTTAACATGACTTCTCTCTGTTGGTGTTGACCTTGATCACCTGGCTGAGCTAGAGTTCTTCACTCTGAAGTGACTCTTTCCCCTCCTTCCCTTCCTATAATCTTGGAAGGAAGTCACTATTCATAGCACACACTCAAGGAGTGGGGAGTTATGCTTCCCCTTTTTGAGGGCAGAGAAGCTACATAAATTATTTGTAGTCTTTCTGCATGAGATTTTGTCTCTGGTTTACTTATCCAACCATTTCTATCAATAGGAATGCAAAGATATTTAGTTTATATTTTGGTTTATAATCCAATACTGCTTTATTTATGTCGTTGCTCAAAAGGCCCTAGATTTGGCCAATGGGAGCTTTCAGTTGGTTTCTGTGCCCCTTTGCTACTTCCCCTATCTTGTGTGTGTGTGTGTGTGTGTGTGTGTGTGTGTGTTGTGTTAAAGCACTTTCTTTCTTTCTGGAGCTACAGCAGAAACAATTCTTCAATCTGTCATTTCTCCAATGAGTCTCAGTTCTGGTCTGAGAGGTGGAGGGAGAGATGAATTTTTTTTTAATAGGTGACATCTTCTTGGGCCTCCTGTTTAGGAGTTAGGGCATCTACTAGAATTTTTACCAGTCTCAATACCTCTCTTGAGAAATGGTCTCTGACCATGACAGGTGGGCCCTATCCCTGAGACTTTGTGATCCCAGCTGTCTGAGTCCTGGGTCAGGCTGTCTCTCAAGGGGAACATAACTCAGCTCCTTGCTGTGGGCTGAGCTGGGCAGGGTGAGTATACCTGTGGTCTGAAGAGAAATGAGTCACTTTCTGAGAGCCACGGTCAGTGAGTGAGCCCATGGCCTGCTGAGGCATTTATGGGGGTCCATGACCCCTTCTCTGTGTGAGTACAAAGATGAAGCTCTTGGGTTTTCGGGGCTAGTTCTGATGTGGGCATCCGGTCCCAGTGTCCTCCCTCCCAGCTTGGATGCGTTTGAGCTGCCTCAGCCCTGCAGGACCCTTACAACCCCTCCTTCTCCCAGGCCAATGATCAATGAGGGGAGCAAGGACAGGCAGCAGACGCAGATCTCCTGGGCTGGGAGACCCCGGGGCTTCCTGGAGGGTAGGACCTGGTGGGGGCTGAGGAAAAGGCCATAGGTTGAGGACGATAGGGGACAGAGATTATAGGGTGCCCTTTGTTGGCACTTGCTGTGTCCCCACCTCCCACTTCCCCTGTAGGTTCCACAGAGTGCGGGCCTCACGGTTACAACTTCCACCTTAGGAGAGCAGACGCTCTGTGAGGCCGTGCACCTGCCCTGGCTGCACCTCCCTCAGCTTTGGGGGGCTTTCTGCCCTTGACCTCTGAGGGTCTCTGGACTTGCTCGGCACCTTCTGGGGCCGTGGGGCTCCTCTGTCTTCACACAAGTTCTGAAATCCCCCTGAAGGTCACAAGCGCACACTCACACTTAGGCCCACACCCACAGCCTTACAGTCACACAGTCACAACCACATGCACACTCACAGTCACACGCCCACTGCCAATGGCTCTGTCCCATGAGTCCTCCATGTGAACAGCTGCAGGAAGGTGGGGATCCTTCAGGCAGCCCCTGGAGGCGGGGAGTCTGAGAGGTGAAGGTACCTCCATCCCAGGGCCCCGAGGCCACCCCCAGCCCTGCCTGAGGCTGAGGGAACCTCAGGAGGTGAGCACGGGGTGGCTGTGGGGGTGGCAGGCCTACTCCTGGAAGGGAGATGAGGTCATGGGGGGAACAGAGGAGATTCAAGCTGCTCAGGGGAGGGTTTTAGGATGTGGAGGGGCCGAAGGCTCAGATTTGAATCCAGGACTGGGGGCCCAGGTTTCCCGTGCTGTCCACCTGTGGCCAGGACTACTTAGACAGTCCGTGCAGTGCCATGGTAGAAGAATTTCATGATGGCCACAGCAGGTCACAAGTGCAGAGTTCTGCGGGCTGTGCCGGGGCACACCTCTGCCCTGGCCTTGTTGCTGCCAAGCTGGGCCCTTGGGAGTGGCAGTGGCAGAACTGCCATCTTCCCTCGCCGGAGGGTCCTTCCAGGAGCACACAGACCCTCCCATGGCACACTCAGGTGACTCAAACATCACACTCGGTGCACATGTCATCTACACCCACGCTCACACCTACCCCCACACCTACAGCCTGACATTCACAGTCACACCCACATGCACACTCACACCCTCAAATGTACTCACATCCCAAGCACACCCACAAATACATACTCCCGCACTAATGCCCTTTTAGCCCCACACACTCCTGCCCTCCCAGTTAGGCTGACCTCCGCAGCCGTGAAGTGGTGGTTAATAAGCAGCCCGGCCCGGGGGGAGGGGCTGCTGGCTGGGGGATAAAGTTCTGAAGCAGCTGCACCCACACCCACACCTCCCCGTCTGCACCGTTGGAGAGGGTCCCTCCTGACCCTGGTTCTGCACCATGCCTCAGCTGGTGGAATGTGTCCCCAACTTCTCAGAAGGGAACAACCAGGAGGTGAGGTGCCTGGCGGGCTGGCAGAGGGGCAGTATGGGGTGCTCAGGCTGAGGAAAACAGGAAGTTCTTGGTACTGCCAGGGGGCTTGATTTTTCTTGGATGAGAACCAAGCCATAAGAAACAGCTTTGACTGCCCGCATGCCGTCAAAGTGCCCACGGGCGACTTGGGAGGAGGGACCTGATCCAGGTGTTAAGTGTGGCCAGAGTTGGGGACCCAAGAGTTGGGGCTGCTTTTGTTTGATAACAGGGGCCCAAAGGACTGTTGAGAGGGTCACACACACTCACCTAGATGTGCCTCCAGAAGTCATGCTGTCCTCATGGGCTGTCCTTAACTCACTGCGACCTCCAGCACTGTGACGTGGGTGCTGCTGTAATCCCCACGTCATCAACAAGGCACAGAGAGGCGAAGCAGACCACCAGGATTTGGTCCCGAGTCCTTGTTTCCATCCACTGGGTACTTCTGGGCCAGCCCTGGCCCATCCCCCCATGCATTTAGGGGTGCACACACTTTGAAAGGCCATTTCAGTGCCACAGGAAGTAGGACCCACTGTGACCTTGGGCTAGTTGGTTACTGCTCTCAGAGTCCTGGCTGACCCCTCTGGGCCCCGATTTCCAGCGGGGTGCCCTGGTTCTGCTTCCTGCCTCAGTTTCTCCTTTCTCCGCCCAGCTGGGTTGGGGCTTCCCAGGGTTTGGGGCTTACCAACTTGCTCACGCTCATCTTACACATGTTCAGGGCCCACCCGCTCCTTGTGAGGGTCCCTGAAATCCCTGCAGCATCTTGCCCTTAGGCCATGTCCCGGCGCGAGGGAGAGTCGCAGGGCGGCCACTTGGGAGTGTTGAGCCAGTTCTGCCCCCCAGGTGATCGAGGCCATCTCCAGAGCCATCACCCAGACTGTGGGCTGCGTGCTGCTGGATGTGGATGCCGGCCCTTCCACCAACCGCACGGTCTACACCTTCGTGGGGCGGCCAGAGGACGTGGTCGAGGGTGCCCTCAATGCGGCCCGGGCCGCTGCTCGGCTCATTGACATGAGCAGGCACAAAGGTGGGGACCTGGGGGTAGGACCTGACTGGGAGGCAGGCTGGGTGAGCCTGGAGCCTGCACCTAAAAGCAGAGGGGGAGGTACCCATGCCACACACAGAGGTCCCGCAGGTCTGAAGAGTAAGCGCGGGCTTCTCCGAGAAGACTCCTGAATTGGCCGTTCCCCCACCGCCCCGGGTCCTCCAATGTCTCCTCTCATTACTGAGGCCCTGGGCGCCCCCCTAGGACAGAGGAGGAACGCGCTGGGTGACATGGCCCACACCTGCCCCAGGGTTTCTGACGGACCATGAGGCCCACCCACTCAGGCTCTGGGCCAGGTCCTCGTTGGGAGTGCCCAATGTCGGGCAGAAGATGCGGCTCTGTCCAGGGAAGTTGGCATGACACCAGATAACCCTCAGATTCAGACATGTCAGGGCCAGTGGCGGGTTGGGACAAAGGTCAGGAGACACTGGAGAGCCAGTCAAAAGGCCAGGGTCGGGGGGTGGGAGTGTGAGAGACACATATGGAGGGGGCTCACAGATGACCCCCAAGCTGGGGGGCAGGTAAGAGGCTTATTGAAGAGCAAGGAGCTGGTACCTGGCAGGAAGGGCCAAGGGAGGTGGGGCTATGAGGTAGGTGCTTGGGGGAAAGGGGGGTGGTGCAAAGGCAGAGGGAGAGCCCATCAAAGTCAACACTGTCCACTTGGCCACGACTCTGGGCCCTGTGTTGCACAACTCTGGGACACCACTTGTTGGACTTTAGGAGCGGGAAGCCCACTGCCACTACTGTGAGATCGATTCAGGTTTATAGTGACCCTGTAGGGCAGAGGAGGAGTGTTCTGAAGGGTCATGGACAGCCTCATCTTTCCCCCCTGGAGTGACTGGTGAACCTGAACTGCTGATCTCCTGGTTAGCAGCCCAACACCCCCTGGGAAAGAGAGGGGCGTGTTGCAAACAGTCAAAATATCAGGCCCTGCTTCTGTGCATCTCCCTCCTGTGGCTGTGGAGACATTCATTTAGGCTGTCCTTTGGGAATGGCTGGTCAGCATAAGCAGGGGGCCCACTGAGGGGCAGGGGTCTGAGAAGCCCAACTGAGCAGGTGGACCAGCTCTTTGTATGCTCCCGAGAGCCTTATTGACCCCTCATACGTTGGACCTTTAACCTGGTTTCCCCCTGCCCACCTCCCCTGCCCATCTCTGCAGGGGAACACCCTAGGATGGGCGCGTTGGATGTCTGCCCCTTCATCCCGGTCAGGGGCGTCAGCATGGATGAGTGTGTGCTTTGTGCCGAGGCCTTTGGCCAGCGGCTGGCAGAGGAACTGGGTGTGCCAGGTGAGTGTCCCCAGGGGGGCCCTCAGGGGCTTCACAGTGGCTCTGGCCACAGCTCAGCGGAGACAGCTTATCCCGAGGGTAGGCAGCCTGTTGAAAGGGGAGATGGTTACAAAGCAGAGCTGGGGGAGCAAACCGCCACTCAGGACCCCGCTGCCACTCCCCTAGGGAAACAGACACCAATGGAAAGAACTGATGTGTCACGTCCCGGGAACACAGGGGGCGCTCGTGGGCCAGCATTGCCCAAGGCATGGAGACCGGTCTAACACAGTGGTTCTCAACCTTCCTCATGCCGCGACCCTTTCATACAGTTCATGTGGTGGTGACCCCCCCAACCATAAAATTATTTTCATTGCTACTTCATCACTGTCATTTTGCTACTGTTATGAATCGGGTGACCCTTGTGAAAGGGTCGTTCGACCCCCAAAGGGGTCGTGACTCACAGGTTCAAAACCACTGGCTGTAGCATCAGTGTGGGGTAGTGAGCAAGACTGACCGGGGGTTTGTGAGTGTACCTCCTTGTTATCGTGAATATCAGGTGCATGGCTGGGAGCAATCGAGTGTAATTAGTAACCCCTCCAGGGGAACAGAGCCAGAACCGGCCATTTCTTTGCCAGGAAGCTGGCTAAGAGACATTCTACAGTAGCAAAGCTGAGAGCCGGCGGGAGCTGATTCAATTCCGCTCCCCAGCAGCGTGCATACCAATGTCGTTTACAATGTTAATCATGTGTGGCGTGTAGGTGGGCTGTACTTTTTCAAATACACATAAAGCTGGGGCGTATAGTGAGTCCCTAAAAAGAATCATGCAATTCACTCTCTGACCGGTCCCAGATGACGACCCTTATCAATCTTATACCATGACCAGGGACCCTGGAGGGGTTAGATCAACCCAAAGCAGGGTTCAAATCATCATCGACATTGCAAGCTCTCGTTTGTACTCTTTGGAGACAGTTAAAACATGCGATGATAAAGATCTATAACCCACTTTGACAAAACTGAAACCACTCAAACCTGGCTGATTCAAATAAAAAAGGCTGCAGTCTTGCTCACAAATCACATCTCAGTAACTCCACCTGGCAACCACATGTTAATAACGTAATCATTAGCAATCACATCTTCATAAGGCCACCCTGGAGGGGCAGAAGAAGGGACCAATCCGTGTTAAGAAGAAACCACAGTGTTGCTTAGAATTGGGGGCGTCGAGACGTCTTGCCTATTGTGGACCTCAGGAAAGACTGATTGCCAGAGAGGGGAAATCACGTTTGGTCGCAGGTTAGCAAGAACAAGGGGGAGCCTCAGCAAGAGGGATGGGCCCATAGTCACAACTGACTGACTCAGACATGCCAGCGATCCCAAAGGTGGCGCAGGGCTGTAGAGAATGTCATCGTGAGGTGCAGGTGACTGCATGACAACTAGCAACAACATCCTCGTGTGTGTGTGTGTGTGTGTGTGTGTGTTTGTGTGTGTGGTTATCGAAATCAAGAAGATGACCCCAAGCAAGCAGAACACAGGAGAACACAGGGAATGGCCGGGAATGGGAGGACATCCTGGATGCAAGGGTCTGGGCACCAGGACCACACACACGGAACTATAGGGGTGCTTTAGGAAGTGGCAGTTGATGGATATTTCTGTTTTCTTTAATTTGGGGTTATACGGATCAGTCATCGAAAACACATCTTTAGAAAGAAACGTGGCATGCCTTCCACCAACGCTGCTCACCTATCAGATAGTAACTCCCATGGCTGCAGCGAGACTGTGCCAGGCCCCTCTGCAGAGGGAGCCGTTAGGGGACAGGAAGTGGAGGAGGCCCTGTCTCTGGTGTGAATTTGGGGGTGAGGGGCTAGGATGGCTCTCTAAGGATGTGAGACAGATGGGAACTTGTGACCCTCACCGGACACCAGGGATCTGGCCTTCTGCTGACCGGACCTGACCTGAGCCTCTTTTGCAGTGTACCTCTATGGGGAGGCAGCGAGGACAGCCAGTCGTCGGACACTGCCCGCCATCCGGGCTGGGGAGTATGAGGCCCTTCCTGAGAAGGTTTGATGGTTTTGTGACAGGAGGTTGGGGGTGTGTGCGGAATGACTCTTGTGTTGATCCTTAGCCCCCGCCCCATCTCCTGTGGGGTGGGTGGACCCTGCCTTTTCATCCCTGACCCCGGAGCCACCTTCCCCTGTGGAGAGGAGCTCACTCCAGGTGAATCCATCCACAGCTCAAGCAGACTGAATGGGCACCGGACTTTGGTCCCAGCACCTTTGTTCCCAGCTGGGGGGCCACTGTCACCGGAGCCCGGAAGTTCCTCATTGCCTTCAACATCAACCTGCTCAGCACCAAGGAGCAGGCACACCGGATTGCCCTCAACCTGCGGGAGCAAGGTCGAGGGAAGGACCAGGTCAGTTCCCCTGAGCCCTGGAGTGGCCGAGCTCAGGGGTAAGAGGGGATAAGCAGGGAGGCTGGTGGGGCAGCGTGCCCCATCGGCTCAACCTGGATGGCTGGTGACCAACTGAGCCCCACTTCAGTGTCCATGACATGTGGGCCAGGGCAGTGTTGGGGCTTTGAGTGGTCTGGTTGAGAATGTTTTAAAGGACATTTTACACAGGATCAGGACTGCGCTTGTTGTTAAAATATTGCAGTCTTTTCATACTGGTGGGGAGGCCCCAGCATTCCCAGATCCACCCAGGTCACCCCCCCCACCCCCGCCCCGCCCGGCATCCCCATGAATCTTCAGGTGCTCCCAGGTACCACCCTCGCCCACCAAATCTGCCACAGCAGCTGTCACCTAACTTTAGCATCGGTCCTGCAGGACGCCCTCGTCAGCCACCTGGTGAAGGAGTTGGAGGAAGACTTGAAATCCCGCTATGAGCTCCCTCTGTCTGGGACTCAAGGGCCCTCCATGTACTCCTCTTAGCTGTCCAGGGTACTGAGCTAGGCCACCTGGGAAGACACAGGCAGAGCAGCGCTCAGAGCAAGGCCACAGGAAGGCAGAGCAGGACAGGGTGGGCTTCGTTAGCTTGGCCTAGGAAGGGCTTCTCCTTTGGCAGCCAGGGCGTCTGAAGAAGGTTCAGGGCATTGGCTGGTACCTGGATGAAAAGAACTTGGCGCAGGTGTCCACAAATCTCCTGGACTTTGAGGTCACAGCACTGCACACGGTCTACGAGGAGGCATGCAGAGAAGCGCAGGTGAGCAGGGTAGGGTACTCCTGCTGGCTGGCAGGGTGGGGACAGGAGACTTGCTCAGGGCCACACTTGTCGTAAGTGTGGGTAGGGACATACACCTTGCTTACTCCTCACTGCCTGTCACTCCTAACCCCAAACCTTTCAACACCACGGGATAATTAAGGTTGTCCATATCTGGGAAGTAGCACATGACAGGCTCCAGGGGAGGCATCTATTCGGGTGAGCAGGGTAGGCACCTCTCTAGCGCAGGAATTGGCAAACTTTGCTCAAGAACCATCTCCCATTCTTTCAGTACGTACCTGTGGCTCTGCAGTAAAACTGAAAATGAAAATCAAGCTTTCATTTTTAGATTATGGTGATTTCATTTGTTTGTAAAACTATATTTCTGACACGCGCTATCATTTTGGGAACTTTTGATTTCTTTGGGTATTGTCCCCATAAATTTTTCACAAAGCATCAATTGTCTCTCAATTCTTCCACCGGAGCTTCGCCAGACATTGAATGATTGCTCTTGCATTTTAATAGCAGATATGTTTCTCTGATACAGACTCTTTTCAAATTGATATTTTGTTATCATTCTTAATACCTCAAACTCAAACCTTTTTAGATATACTTAAAAAAGTTATACAAGTTTATTTTGGTGAAAAAATACATTCCATTCACGATTTAAAAAAATATATTTTTCATGAAAAGAAATATTTATGGCTCTGGAATAATTTTTAAAATTGTGTGAGGGACAGGATTGGCTCTTCTGTATCCAAAGTTTGCCGAGCCCTGCTCTAGCTGGATGGGCTGGCGGGGAAGGTGGGGTGGAATCCATGTAGGTGAGCAGAGCAGGCAGGAGGCTTCTGCCTGACCCCAGGGGCATCCTCCACGTGGAAACACTCCTAGGTGTGGACCTGACTCACTTGTGTGTCCCCAGGAGCTGAACCTTCCAATTGTGGGCTCTCAATTAGTGGGCCTGGTGCCTCTGAAGGCCATCCTGGACGCGGCAGCCTTCTACTGCCAGAAGGAGAGCCTCTTCATCCTGGAGGAGGAACACAGAATCAGGCTGGTGGGCCAGGGTCCCGGTGTGAAGGGGGCGGAGAGGGATGAGGCTTGGGCCCGTGCGTCTGCTGGGAGAGAGTGAACAAGCTTGATGTTCCCTGGGGTGGGTTTCGATGCTGGAGGTGCCCACACCCAAGCTGCAAACTCACCCAATGTCCAGGCTTCCCTGCAGGAGAAGGAGCTTCGTGGGGCATTCACAGCGCGGCTTCTGTGAGCTTAGAGGAGGTTCTGGTGGGGTGGCCTTCCTCTCAGCTGCCTGGAGAAGGGGATGCTGTTCTGTAAAGGGGAAGTAGGGTCTGAGGCCTCCTTCATGGCCTTGCCTTGGAGATTCTGCTTCTGAACGCGCTCGGCAAGGCTTTCTTCTGGTTCCGATCTCTGCTCATTTTCAGAGGTTTCAGAAATCCCATCGTATCTGGTATGTTTCTTTTTTGCTTACACATCTTGAAAAGGAACAATCCGTCAGGTTGTGCTTGGCCATGAGCTCAGGACTTGATAGATCTCTTCTCAAAGTGTGCTGGCGATTTTCGGGAGCACTTGGGCCTTGGTATGGTGTGTGGCGTGGCTCTGCTGCACGTGGGCGGTAGAGAGCGAAGGTGTCTCCTAGGTATCTCACTTCCTGGCTCACGGGTACCAGTGGATCTGTACCTGGGGACATCTGACCACCTCTGACACTCCTAAAAGGATGAGGACGTTTGACCTTCCAAGTCAAACTAGAAACGCCTGAAAGGCCAACATCCCCTCAAGACCCACCAGAGGGAGTAGTTGGGATCCTTTCTAGTCTCTCTCCTCCCTGTGGGTGACTCAGGGGAATTTTTTTCCCCCTTCTGGAAATTCTTAAGACAATCACCATATGCGGACATGAGCTAGAATTCACTGTCTGTGTACTTCGGACATTTCAAGCAAAAAAACTTAGTTTAAAGTGGCCCTGTATTAATAGCACTCTCAAGCACTGACCATTCAAATACAAACCCTAGAGGTACAAATTTTAAATCCAGGTGTTAAGAATGACCACAGATGCTCAGGGACCAGAAAGAATAGTACCTGGAGGCCGGTCCACACAGAAGAAGCACAACAACCGGTATGATCCAAGGATTGCTAGTCATAAGATCCAAATCCAGGGGAGGGAATACTATCAGAGTTTAAATTCTGAACACCCAGTTTGCAGGAGGCTGGGCTGTGTTGCTGTCTCCTATTGGGTGAAACAAGCGAAACAAATGAACAGAATAAGAGAAAAAGCACAAACATACAATAGACAAAAAGGAAGTAACTAAAGTAATAATATTAAAGCAAAGAACAGTAGGAAACAACACCAAGTAAAAATAATTTAACAACTATAAATAAATAAACAAATAAAAACAGGCTAGACAAAAAGCAAACAAGGAAAACTAGGGAGGGGGAAGAGAAAAGACAGTAAAGAAAAAAAAGAGAATGGATAAAAAGAAGAAAGGAGAAACAGAAGAAAAGTAATAAAAAAAGGAAAGCATAGAAAGAGAAGATTAAAAAAGAAAACCAGGGAAGGGCAATAAAAGGAAAAATGAGACAAAATACCAAAGAAAGAAGGAAAGGAGAAATTGTGGGGGACAAGGCAGCTGGTCTCAGCTGGCAGCCTTATGGTGTGGAGTGTCAGCTCGTGGGACACAGGCCTTGATGATGTTCCTGCCAGCGTATGTGCTGTGTGGGGTCAGGGGGCCTGCTCCGGAAGCAGTTCGTACCAGCTCAGATGGTAGCTGAGGTCAGGTGCTTGCTCCAGAAGGAATTCTTTCGGGCCCAGAAGACAGCTGCGGGCAGCACAGCTGACTGAGTACGAAGGCACTTTCGGCTCACCCACGGGTGGGCAGGGACTCACCACTTTGTTTCCTCCTGCCCGCGAGTGAGGCTGATGGACCCAGGGCTTGATCCATGAGGGTGCAGCTCTGACCTCGGGAGAACAGGGGCTGTGTGGAGTCAGTGAGGGTGGGGGCTGGCCACACTTCTGGACACCCGGAGGGTGTCAGGAGAAAGGAGGGTCACATCTTTCTTGCCACCAGCCAGTGGTGTGTCAGACCACCGTGTGGACGGGATGCTGCTTGCTGGAGTTCAAGGTGGCTCGCTGACCATCTGTCCATCTGTCTCCTCTCCAGCTGCTTTTGTTCAGCTTCTCCTCCGGATCAGCATCTGTATCTGTTTCCCTGGGTCTCTTGTTTGCTTGCTTCTTTGAAGCTAGGTGGCATGTCACCAAAGGACGCAGGTCATTTTCACATTGACCTTGCCTCTTTTGATGGCCACTCGGACCAATGGTCACGTCTGATGGGTAAGGGTTCAGGAACGTTTTTTAAAGCTGTGACTTTTCTCTTTCTTGAAAACATGTATTTAAAAAATTAACTATTTGCTTTTACATATATATATATATATATATTTAGAATTTATTTCCCCCCCTTTGTTTGTGGAATATAACAGATACAAAGAAAAACATATTCTATGTCGTTGCACAGCGCGTACCATTAAATCCGTGACGATGTCCCATGAAACGCCCTGTCAATGGCTGTTCTTCTTTCCCTCCTTTTCCCACCCTCTGGACCTTCTTACCTGCCTGTCCCATCCTCTCCCCCACCACGATCCTGGCCACTTTGTAGTTGTTAAAGTCTGGTCCTTTGGCATGAAGACAATTTTTTCCCTTTATAATGATGGTGTCATAAAATGTCTATCTTTATGATATTGACTAACGTCACCGAGCATAATGCCCTTTTACTTTGTCCATGCCATGTGGTGTTTGACAGATCCATCATTGCTTTTGAAGTATCCATTGTGTGACTGTACCAGAGCCTGCTTAGTCAGTCCTCTGCAGGCGGGGCTTTAGATTCTTCCCATCTTTTTTGCTGGTATAGAAACTGCTGCAATAAGCATGGGTGTGCATATATGTCTGTTTGTGCTTTGTTCTTTATTCTTTTTTTCCTCAATCGTTTTATTAGGGGCTCATACAACTCTTATCACCATCCATACAGACTTCAATTGTGTAAAGCGCATTTGGACATTCATTACCCTCATCATTCTCAAAACATGTTCTTTATTCTTTAGGGAGCACACCAAGTAGAGAGATCACAGGATCAGAAGTGATTTGTATTTGCATTTGTTAAAGGAAGTGTCATATTGACTTCCATAGTGGCTGTATAATTCTGCAATTCCACCAAAACCTATGAACGTTCCAATTTCTCCCCCTTCTCTCCAGCATCGATTAGATTCTGTTTTTAAAAAAGATTTTGCAGCTGATGCCAGGGGCTTAGGTGGAGAGCAAATGTCTTGAGAATGATGAGGGCAATGAATGTACAAATGTGCTTTACACAATTGATGTATGTATGGATTGTGATAAGAGTTGTATGAGCCCCTAATAAAATGATAAAAAAAACAAAGAAACCCACATGGGCAGCTCTATCCTGTCCTATGGGGTTGCCATGAATCAGAAAAAAAAAAAAGGATCGTTCACTTAAAAAAAACAAAAACAGAAAAGATTTTGCTAAGTCTCAGTGTGAAGTGGCCACTTATTATTTCCATTTGTGTTTCTCTTAGGGCTAATAAACTTGAACATGTCTTCATATGATTGTTAGCCACCTGGGGACCACATTTAGGAAATTGTCTATTCTTGTCTTGTGCCCATTGTTTGGTTGGGTTATTTGTATTTTCCTTATTAAGGTGTTGTAGTTTTCTACAGAGTTGTGAAATTAGCCCTCGATCTGTTATATCACTGCCAGATATTTCCCCCATTTGCGAATTTTCATTTTGCTCTTTTAATGAAGTCGTTTGAAGTGCAGAAATATTGTACTCATCGAAGGTTCCAGTTCTCGATCTTGTCTTCTGTAGTGTGTTTATGCCTTGTAGTCGGGTCCTTAAGTTTGTCCCTCGTTTTTCACTGATGGTCCCCATGGGTCTAGGGTTCATATTTGGGTCTTCATCTGTTTTGAGTTTGTTTCTGTGCACGATGTGAGGTATGGGTGCTGTTTCACTCTTTGGCAGGTGGAGATTCCATTTTTCTAGTGCCATTTATTGAAAACGTTATCTCTTTTCCACCTGGTGTGGTTCAGTCCTTTTTCAAAGATCAGTGTCTATAGGTACTTGGTTCTGTTTCTGAGTTCTCAGTCTAATCCATTGGTCTACATGTCTATTGTAGCAGTACCAACCTGTTTTGGTTACCGCGGCATCTGTTTCAGTAGATCTCTTGGGCCTTTGTTCTAGAGCAAGAGTGGGGAGCGTTTTTCTGTCAAGGGTCATTTAGATATTTATAACATCACTTTGGGGTCATATTGGTCAAACATGTAATTAAAGCACCCTTAGTGTGAAGACTGGAAGGGCTTCTCTTTGGTGAAGCGCGTGATGTTAACTGATTGTGTGGGCCTGACCCGGCTCTGGGCCAGATGTTCTCCACATTGTTCTGGAGGGCCTGCGTAATGTGTCTGCCGCGTTTGCTGTCTTGTCGGAAGTTCAATTTCACTCTATGTAGGGAATCCATTAGCATCTAGAAGAATTTAATTTTTATCAAGTTCTGTTTAGTTATGCTTTGTTACTGTGCTTTCAGTGTCATATTTTAAGAAACAATCACCAAGTGCAAGGTCCTGAAGATTTACCCTTCTGTTTTCTTACAGAGATTTAATAATTTTAGCCTTTACATTTAGGCCTGTAAAGTTTGAGTTAATTTCTATCTGCTGTGAGGTAGGGGTCCAATTTCTTCTTTTGCGTGTGGAATCCAGTTTTCCTAGCAACAATTTGTTCAATAGATTACTTCCCCACCCCCCCATAAGTTGGTCTTGGTATTGATACTGAAAATAAATTTGAGGATTTATTTCTGTGCTGTCAATTCTATTCCATTGGTCTGTGTGTCTATCCTTGTACCAGTACCACACAGACATTGTAGTAAGCATTGAAATAGGAAAGTGTGAGTTCTCCAGTTTTGTTTTCTTTTATGCCCTCTTTTGGCTATTCTGGGTCACTTGAAAATCCATGGGACTTTCAATTGGAAATTTAATAGGATTACATTGAATCTGCACATTGCTTTGGGTAGTATTGTTATTAATGATATTGTCTTCCAATCCAAAAACATGAAAGTCTTTTCATTCACACCCACTCCCTCCTTATTGACATGTTGAGGATCCACAGACCAGGTTGTTATGTAAAAATCAATAGTTTGTGAAAATGTAGGATGACCACATAAGATCACAGAATGGAGGATGACGATAGCATTACATAACTGTTAAATTCCATCATGACGTAATTGCCAACCCCCTGAGAACCATGGCTCAATCAAGTTAACACACAGCTTAACCTTCACAGCCAGCCTTTCTCTTGCCTTTCACCTTAGTGCTTGCGACTGCTAGACACATGTCGTTAAGGTGCAAATATAATTGGGTGGTAGACCTTTTATTACCGTTGTTGTAAATGAGAACGGTTGGAGAATGGGAGAGTTGATAGGTGAGGAGGAGGTGTGTTTAGATTTTCTTTAGTATCTTTCAGCCGTCTTTAAAATACTTTTCAATGTACAAGTCTTGTTATGAGGTACCCATTGTGATTACATTTCTTCCTAGTATTTTATTCTTTTTGATGCTATTGTAAATGGAATTATTTTATTAATTTCCATTTCAGATCGTTTATTGCTAATGTATACAAAAACGCCTAAATAATGCATCATTGATTCCGTATCCCGCAACTTGATGGAATTGGTTTATTAGCTCTGTTTGTTTGTGTGTGTGCTCTTTAACATGTTCTACATATAAGATTCGGTGAAGAGAATATAGTTTTCATCTTTTCCAATTTAAAGGTGCCTGTTGGCAAGGTGGCTTATGCATGTATTGGGTTGCTAACGAGAATATTGGTAGTTAAAACCCATTGCAGGAGAAAGATAAGACTTCCTGCTCCTGTAAAGATTTTTACAACCTCAATCACCCAAAGGGGCGGTTCTATTTGGACCTATAGGGTCATTATGAGTCGGAATATACTCAATGGTATAGAGTTTGGAGTTTTGGTCTATCCAATTAGAAGGCCCTACTTTTCCCTAATGGCTTTGGCTAGAACTTCCAGTGCTGTGGCACTCCAGTGTTGAACAGGGATGATGAGAACGCCCTCTCCTGGAATGTAACTAGTTGGCTGGCTGTTCATGGGCACCCCTCTCTTGGTATTTCCCCATCTGGTACTGCAGGGGCAGTGGGCCGGGAAGATGTACTCGTGCAAGCTCTGAGCTTGGCACACTTTCCCAGGTCGGGTCCAGCCAGCTTGCATGTGGGAGTCAGTGGTCAAAAAGGCTCAACCCCATCCCCTGCCCTGCTCCCCATAAAAAGCTGGGCTCAGGGTGGAGACACCACAGAGAGGCAGAAGGGATCCCAACACGTGCCATGACCTTCCCTGGTGTATTGTTGCCCTTCCTCAGGAGGGGCTGGGGAAGGAGGGCCATTGCACCCCATACTACACCTCTTTTTCCAGGTCGTGAACAGGCTGGGCCTGGACTCCCTGTCTCCCTTCAATCCGAAGGAGAGGATTATTGAGTGAGCTCCCCCCCACAGCCCCAACCCTGCCTGAAACCAGAGGCTCCTTCAAGAGCTGTGGGCGTGATTTAAAGGGCAGGACCGTGTGGTTCGAATCCTTCCAGATCCTTCTGCCTGACCACTTACTCATTCAGTAAACATCAGCATTCTGTGTTGGGCCTGGGAGCAGGGGCAGGGTGAGACCCTGACGTGGTCCTCACAGCCAGGTCCTGGAAGTCTTCCAGCTGCTCTGAAACTGGGGGTTATGTCCTTGATGGTGAGGACCATGGTATGGGGAGCAGGGTGGAACTCAGAGTCAGAATCAGGTCCTGAATCCAACTTTGTCTTCACAGCCTGGTAGCAGGGTTGTTGACAATGTTACATCACCCTGGGGACTTCGTGCCCCACACACGCACTCAGCGGAAGGCGGTGCCTTTGTGGTTGACAAGGAGAGTGTGCAGGGTTTTGGAGGAAGGCGCTGGGGCCACATTCCCTACAGTGGCCCTCCCAGAGAACAGCCCCAGGGCCTGGCCCCTCCAGGTCCCGGTGCCTCAGGACAGCTGCTCAGTGGAGTGAGGGACAGGGACCTAACTTCCTGCTGAGCCCCATGCAGACCAATTGGCAGAGCAGCCTTGCCCCAGTCCTGGATGAGGACAGTGGGATCCGAGGTGATGTAGCTTGTAGGGGTCCACCCAGAAGCCAGTGGTTTGTCCAAGGCTGTGTCTCTGATGGGAAGCACTGAGGGAGGTGGGCTCCTGCTAAGACCCCAGAAGTCCCAGCGCAGGGCCAGAAACCCCTCCCTCCACTGAGCTGCTGTCCACCCGCAGGTACCTGGTCCCCGATGGCCAGCCTGAGCAGGGCCTGGTGAACAAGTCCCTGGGTGCCTTCATCCGCGAGGTGGGCGCCCGCTCGGCAGCCCCTGGGGGCGGCTCGGTGGCTGCGGCTGCTGCAGCGATGGTGAGCCCTGCCCTGGGGGAGGGGCACGTCGGGACCCCAGCGCACTGGGTGGCACGGGGTTGGAGACTTGCTGTTTGTGGTGGGCGGGAGGCGCGGGTGGCAGGTTCTGCCCAAAGACGTTCCTGTGTGGGAGTCTCTGAGAGCCGAGGAGTGGTGCCTGTGTGCCTGGCCCTCTCCGCAGTTGCCCCTAACCTGGGGCCCAGATCCCCGGGGATGATGGCGCGCCCAGCGTGGGTCCCAGGCCCCATGTGCCACCTCTCCCAGGGCGCGGCGCTGGCCTCCATGGTGGGCCTGATGACTTACGGACGGCGTCAGTTCGAGCACCTGGACGCAGAGATGCGACGCCTGATCCCGCCCTTCCACTCGGCCTTGGCCCAGCTGACCACGCTGGTGGACGCGGATGCCCAAGCCTTCGCAGGTTATCTGGTGAGTGAGCTCGGCCACGGCCTCCTTAGGCCCAGGTCCCAGGGTCTGGAGGCCCCAGAGGTAACTACACACACCCGCTTAAAGGCACGAGGGAGTGTCTGAAGGGCCCAGCCAGAACTTGAAGAACAGGCCTCAGGACAGGTGGAGTACCCACTCGGTGGGGCTTGGACAGCAGGAGTGTGAGGGGTGGGTTGTCTAGCTGCCTTTTGGGACCAGGGATGGGCACGCCCCCTCCCTTCTCTGAGTCTCTTTTTCCTGCCAATGCAAGCCAAAGGCCTGTGGGGCTTGGGAGTTGGCACAGCTCTGGCTGTGGCAGGGGTAGGGTAAGAGGGAGCAGGCACCACACAGGGTCTCTCTCCCACCAGCTGCAGTCAGAGGCCAGCTGGCTGCCCACTTAGTGCCCACAGGTGGGGAGGAAGCATCCACAACCCAGATGCTGAGAAATGGCCTCAGGAGGGCGGCCACTCAGCAGATCTTGGACCTCACGAGCCAGAGGAAAGGAATCTCACCAGAAAGACAGGGGTCTGGGAAGACAGCGCCGCTGTGCACCGCAGAGGGACCCAAGGGAGCTCTGGGGAACACCCATCTCGTCCGGAGAGGCAGCTCACAGAGCAAGTATATCAGAAGGTCTACCTAGAAGGGGAGCCATGCAGACTTCTGAGCAATGTACAGAAAGAAACTACCAGAACTATCAGGCGCCTGGGGGACAAGGTTGAGAATCCTCAACGTGGACAGGAGGACAGCTCGAGAGGAGAGATCGGATCGGAGAAGGGGCCTGGCAGAGAGAGGAGATGCCCTGCGATGCTAGGAGACTCAGCACGCCCACAGGCATGCAGGCAGCCTAGGCTCAGGGTACAGGCCAGGTGTGTAGAGTCTGAGACCCCGACAGCCTCAAGGGCTTGCTTGTGATGTTGGGTGCCAGAGAAGTGCCCCAACACCGCCGAAGCCGGACAACAGTGCTGGTCTCGAAGTCCCCTCCATCAAAGGAGCACCTGAGGGTGAGCAGAGCCACGCTGGAGAAGTCACTGCCCAAGACACTCCTGGGACATGCAAAGTGGGTGCTGAATCTTCAACAGAGGACACCTGTCTCACTGTGGGGGGAAAAGCAAACAATTCTACAGGAGACAGGCTTGTTCATGGGGACAGGGGTGGTCACCAGGACAGGGTCCCCCACTAGCCCCCTCCACTCGCTCACCTTGTGTCTCTCTGGTCATTCCTCGTAGGAAGCCCTGAAGCTGCCCAAGACCACACAGGAGGAAAGGGACAGGTACGTAGAGCAGGCTGGTGAGGTGAGCAGTCCCCATCGGATCTTTGTTATTAGAGAGGGTTTCCTGAGTCCCAGCCCTTGTTCTGTGGCCCCCGCTACCTGAGAGGGATCTGGGGGCCCTAGCCCACCCTACTCCAGCTGGAATGCAGGTTCTCAGGGGCATAAGCATGGCCCCTAGGGTGCCCTCCTGTGGTTCCAGGCGAGAGGCTGCCATGCAGGAGGGGCTGAAGCAGGCGGTGGCCGTTCCTCTGTCCTTGGCGGAGAAGGTAGCCTCGCTGTGGCCAGCACTGCAGGAGCTGGCCCTGTGCGGGAACCTGGCCTGCCGCTCTGACCTGCAGGTAGGAGGGCCCTGCCTCCTCTGCTCACAGACAAGGGCCACAGCAGAGGAGGAGGGGTCTGGCCCCAGGGACCACAGTTCCGAAATGGGACCGGAAGGAACTCCAAGCCAGGCCTGAAGCAAGCGCTGAACACAGCAATGCAGGCCTTTCCTCTCCCCTCCCCTCTCCTCCCCTCTCTGCTCCTGTCTGGCTTCCCACCCCTCTCCCTCCAGAGTCCCTCCTTGCCCTCTCCCCTCCTCTCCCTTCCACCTCCCCTCTGCTCTCTCCTCCCTCCTCTCCTGCCAGACCCTCCCTTCCAGCCCTTGCCCACCCCCCACCCCCCTCACTGCTCCTTCTCTCCCTGGTGTTTGCGGCAGGTGGCAGCTAAAGCGTTGGAGACAGGTGTGTTTGGTGCCTACTTCAATGTGCTCACCAACCTGAAGGACATCACCGACACTGCCTTCAAGGACCAGGTGAGCATGTGGCAGCCCTGGCCAGATGCAGGGTCCCTTGTGTCCGATGCGGGCCCAGGGGCCCCTTTCATCTGTCTTATAGAGCTGCTCCCTTGGCTGGACCTCCTGCGGCACCCATGGCATCAAGTCTCCCTTCCTCAGGGTTGTCTTTGAGATAGGGAAGTTGGGGTGCCTGGCGTGCCTGGCCCTGTGGGCCTCCTCTGCTTTGGGCTCGTTCTGGCCAGGAGGGGCTGTGTCATGCGAGGTCAGCGCCCCAGTGCCTGTCACCACCCTCTCCATGCCCTCAATGAGCTGCAGTCACCCCAAACCCTGTCCTCTGGCAGCCCCTACCGGCTGTTTGACCCCGTGGACTTCATGTCACCATGACTATCTCCCATTTCAGCATGGGGCTCTCCTCAGCCCAACCTCTTGCTGTCCATGTCCAGGAAGGCCCAGCATAGGGCCCATCTTGAGGGGACTCACTGCTCATGACTCAGGCAGTGGGCCCAAAGACAAGCTCCAGAAGTTTCCCCTCCCCCTGGGACTTGGGGGGGAGGGCAGTGTGTCTAGCCCTCAACATCTGTGGCCAGAGAGGGAGAGCCCAAACCCCAGACCTGGCTCTCCCAAAGCTCACTATAGAGGAAGCCCCTCTTAGCTGTGTCAAGAGACCTTTGAAGAGCCAAGAACGCTGAGTGAGGATGGACAGGAAAGGACACAGGGAGGAGCTATTGTGGGCCAGGGCCAGCAGGGACAGTTAGGGTGCAGGGGACCATCTGTGGGCAGCAGCCGAGCAGGAGGGAGGCCACCGTCCAGGGAGGGAGTAGGGCTGTCTGCTTGGCAGAGGGTGACCACCCCGGTTTGTCAGATCCGCCAGCGAGTCTCCAGCCTCCTGCAGGACACCCAGACCCAGGCTGCCCTGGTGCTGGACCGCCTGGAGACCCGGCGGGAGTGAGAGCCAGGATGGAGACCCCTGCTGGACCCCCATCCGGGGTGGAGGGCCTGTGGCTGACGGGAGCACTACGTGATGCCAGCTCTGGGACCAGGGCGGCCCCCCAAGCATGTTCCCTGCATCCCCTCGTTCTCAGTAAAGTGCCCCCCCCCAGGGTTCTGCTGTGTGATTTGCGGCTGGGGTAGGGTGGGGCTCAGGGTGTCGGGGATCATGGGACAGGGCGGGAGGTGAATGAATTGTCAAGTTGGAGTGCTATGAAATCAGGAATCCTTGGAGCGGTGACGTGTGGCCAGTGAGTAGGGTCCCGAACACGCAGGGACACAGCAGACACATGGGGCGTGATGGACCAGGGGACCCGGTGTTACTCCTGGGCCTCTCCATCAGTGAGAAGCTGGGGGTAGTTTGGGGACTGTCACCCACAAAAGCCCACAGACAGGGAGGGACAGACTCCCAGGAGCTTTGGATGCGGGGGCTGCTGCTGGTCTAAGTGGCATGTTGGCTGGTGTGGCCGTGGGGGATGGAGGCATTGATGAGGGAGGGGCGGGGATGGAAGGTGTGTGGCTGGGCTTTGATCACCCAGTCAGCCCTACCTCCTCTCAGGGAATAAAGGCCAAGTAGACAGTAGCTGTTCTGTGAGGCAGAAGAGGTGTGGTGGGCCTGGGGTTCTTCCTGAGGGACTGAGGGGGACTAGGCTACAGTGCTGGAATCTGGTTGGAATGTGGTCTGACCCCCTCACATAGGGCTCAGGGGTCAAGGGCATGAGAGGGCACCCTGATGCTACGGGATTCTCCTCCTTCCAATTTAATCTTTTAAAAGCGGGGAGCACTTTCACGTGGTCAAAAACCAAAACAGAACAAAGTCCTCAGGAGAAATCTTACAGCCACAGCCGCCTGCCCCCAACACCTCTTTTCATGTTCTCTTCAGGAGAGGGCTGTATTTCTTCCTTTTGTTGCAGTGTTTCTGCAAGTATGGATGAATACAAATGTGTCTTTGTAGCCCCTCTTCCTTACAAGAAGATCACAACAGATGCCTTCACTGTACCTTGCTCTTACTTAACAGAGCCACCAGAGATCTTTTCTACAGCATAGAGACTCCTCTTCATATATTTTACCCACCTATCCTTTCCCCCTACCTTTATTTCCTTGGTAGGAATTTTAATGTGGCATACGATGTAAGCAGAGGAAGGTACTCAAACACAGGTATGTGACCAGCTCACCAGGTGCCCCAGATGCCTCCTTGGCCCCCCACTTCATCCCCTGACTTAAGAGAAACTGCTTCTCTGATCTCCTAGACAATCATGTTTAGGAACACTCTCTGTTTTAAAAAAAAATCATTTTATTGGGGGCTTGTACAATTCTTATCACAATCCATACATATACATCCATTGTGTCAAGCATATTTGTACATTTGTTGCCCTCATCATTCTCAAAACTTTTTCTTTCTACTTGAGCCCTTAATATCAGTTCCTCATTTCCCCCCTCTCTGCTGCCCCTCCCTCATGAACCCTTGTTAATTTATAAATTATTAT